CCGCGGCTACGACCGGGGCGCCCCGTCGTACACCACCCACCGCCACACCCGAGGCCCCCACTGGGCCCACACCGGCCGCCCTGGCGGCGGCTCCGGGGGCGCGCGGCCGCAGGCCGCCGCGGGCGGGCAGCAGCGGGGGCGCAGTAGCGGGGGCGGCGGCGGCTTTGGCGGCGGCGGCGCGGCGGGGTATGGGTCGCAGTATTGGGGGGCCAGCTGCGACAGCGATGACGAGGACGATGATGCGTTCTGGGGTGCGTGAGGCTTTACTTGTCTGATGCCTCACCCGGTGCCACAGCTAGGCGCTCGGTAGCCGCCTGTTTTCGGCGCAGAACTTTGTAGAAAAAATTGGACCACGACAGGGTAGGGCGGGCTCGCAGCCGGGTCGCTTAGACGCTCCTCGGATGCAGATCTTACATAGCCAGATGGCACGGTCTGGAGGGCCCCGTGATGCAGGTTCGACGAACCCCGTGGTCATCATTTTTGTAACAGCTGCAGGTCGCGGGCTGGGTGCACGGGGCGGTCCTGTCCCACGCTCGAGTCGGCCGCGCGACACCCGGCTGCCGGAGGCTTTGGGTATCGGCTACGGGCTTGGGAGGGCGTGCGGATGGCCCGCTTTGGGCCACCGTCTATCGCAAGCTTCTCTGGCGTCAGCGCAGGGGTCGGCGACCAGGCAAGGCCCCTCCAGGGCCCCAAACCACGACGACCTGTCGGGATTAGTAAGTGATTAGTAGTGCAAGCAGTGATCCGCCTTGCCTTGTCAAAGGAATGGCTCGGCCGCTGGCAAAGACTCAGGTCACCCACGCAGTGTTGCGGTGTCTCGCATTCACTCGATTGTGGAGCCGTCCAGGCTAATGGGATTGGCCGGTGACTGGACTTTGGCAATGGCATTGCGACGCGCCAAATGCCTCAAGCGGCAGCTGGTTGTGCTGAGAACTCTGTATTGTCCGCCAGCGATCATCTGTCACGCCGCCGCCTGCAAGTGTCTGTAGACGGAGACGGCCATGCACACCCCCTGCAGCGCCACCGCGTCCATCTGCCTGCTCAACTGCCACAGACACGAGCAGATCTGCGCGGCGCCGCCGTGATATGACCCAACAGGTCGGGTTTGGTTTAGAGATGAGATCCTCGTTGTTGCTTTACAACAGATATGAGCAAAGGTGACAACATTCCAACGACGATCAATGCAGGGAGCCTCGCCGCACAGCTGGGCTGGTGATTGTTTGGGGGCTTCCCCACCCACGCATGCCGAAAATTTGTCATATTGGAGGGAAGGGGTATGTATGTGTGTGCGAATGTGCGGAGGGCTCAGCACAGCAAAGCCCTGGGGCCGGGCCGCCGCGGGAGAGGCAGGGTGACGGGCGGACGGTCGGGTCTGAGCCAGGTGCGTCGTTTAGTGTCTCGGCGGCCGGAGGGGCCCCGGGCCGGCGAGGCGGCAAGAGGCTCGCTGGGAGGGTACCACCCACGCGTGGCGCGCCTGTGCGTTGCTGTCGCTGTTGTCATCATTCCATTCCCGCATACCAACATCCCGGCCTCCGCGTGCGTGCATGCTCAGGCGCGCGGCGAGGAAGACGCCGCCAGTCGTAAGCGTTGCGGGGCGCGCGCGCACGTCGGAAGACGCCGCGCACGGCGCGTGCACATGCAAATGCGCCCCTGAAACCAAAAACGGCTCCCCTGAGCCCCCATTCACTGTCAACAACCGCCGGCCATATCAAGAAAAAAACAGCCGGCTCAACGCTAGTCAATCACAACCCATATGTGCTACTCGCTAATCAACTGTGTGCCTAGTCAGATGTGAAAACGCTGGCCACCCACCACGCCGGCAGCTCCCGGCGGGCGGGCATTCAGAGGGGCAGGCGCGCAGGCGAACGCACAGCACGGCCGCGCCGCCATTGCGTCGTGCTCGCACAAACTTGGATGGGTCGGGTGTCAGATGCGATGTAATGTTGGCAAAAGACAACATTTAATGACGGCTGGTAGCAAGCAAGTCCTGCTTCAGTAGGTGGGCGCTGCGCATGCGCTCGCGCGCCCCCCGCTCGGGGCAGCCGCGCGGGCGCGGGGCCTCCCCAGCCCTGGACGCGTGCGCACGCGGCCGCGACGAGGAGATCGCGCGCCTGGGGCAGCGGGGCGCGCGGCGGAAGGCAAGCGGGCGCATGTGCGCGCATGAGTCAAGTGAGGCCCCTCTGTGGGATGCTGTGGGGCGGCAGTGCTTGGGATTTGAATTTCGGTGCGACAGCTGCTCTCTGGGCAATGGCGTCGACAGCAGATCGAAAACGGCGCGGCGAGGCGCGGTGGGGGCGGGGCGCGCGGCCCGAGCCCTGCTGCGCCGCGCCGCGGCCGTGTCTTGTGTCTGGCACATATGCTGGGTTCCCCAGGCGGCGCCGCGGCCGGGCCCCGCAGCGACACGATGCGGCGCCGCGCTGACAGGCGTCTGGAAGCGGGCGCGGGGCGCGGGGCTCGGCGGGCGCAGGCGGGCTTCAGTGAGTGAGCAGCCAATCGTGACTCTTCTGGGGCCTCTGCGGCTGCGCGGGGCGT